TAAGGGTAAGAGCTCTTTTAAAAAAAAATAATTAAAAAATAACAAAATACTACAATCACGTCAATAGCTTGATGTAGCAGGTCATGAGCTATACATTGAGCACAGCCTGCAATCAGCTTTCAAAACAAGTCGCAATCACAGTCGAAAAATTAAAGAGAATTGAAATTTGGTCGGACAATTTAGTCTGCAATATAAAACTCTGCTAGCAGAATTTCTCAAAGAATGGACCATTTTTGGCTGTTTATTACAACGTCAAGCTAGGCCGGCAGAATAACTGAAGAAATTTCCGAGTAGGATCAATTTAAAAATTTAGCTTACGAGGGTGAATCATATGGCTACTCAGTATGAATGAGAGAGATTTCGAAAAAAATTCGTATTTTTTAAGAACACTGTCAACAAGCAGAATAGGCCAGAAAAATTTATCCACGCCTCGCTCGACAAGTCACATGAAAGTCAAATGCGCGCGTACTTGTGTGGTTCAAGTGCGGAACACTTGACTAGAGCCATAATGTTTGCTTTACAATTTGAGGATGCGGATTATTTTCTCTGTTTTTTTTTTTTTACCTTGAAAAGCCATTATTGTGAGGTTCCCTTCGATCTGTGAGTAGCTTTTGGCATCAGAAAAATAAATATGGTGACATAGCTCCTTTAATAATTTTTTTAAGACAACAGCACCAACGACATCAGTTAAAACAAATACCTGTAATAATTTATCCATCTAAAATACATTTACACAGAGCAATAAAATAAAATCATAAGTTAATTTATACAACAGGAATATTATGTACATCGGAGTAGAGAGTAGGAAGCACAGATACCCAAGTTTTTAACACTGCATCACAGCATTCACTTGCCTGTGCTAGTTGTGATTCAAATGAAACCATCCGTGACTGCTTCAAAACTAGAGTTTTTTCCCCTTGAATGGCTAAAGAATGTTTTAGTTAAATACTTATTCATAACATTAAGTTTGAATATAGCATTCGTTTTACTGTAGTGTATGTAAAATAGTTAGACTAAGACTAGTTACTTTATTAAAAATAAATTGCCATTTAGTGAATGTTAAAATGATTGACATACTTTATATAAGAAGCTTTAATTTTCCAATCCCCCTCCGCTCTCCAAACTTTTGTTGAAATGTTCAAAGGCTTTCTATCAACTTGAATTTAATAAGGGTTAATTAACTGCCATAACAGGTTTGCAAAGCTGATGTTCTGCATGTAAACCCTTTTCCTGTGACAAAGAACTAACAAAATATCAGCTACTTAATAGACAAACTCACTATGACAGTGAACTTATCTTGAAAGACTTCAAGTTGATACAACGCCGATAGCAATATCTTTTACTTACATGTACCCCCTGAGGTGTCCAATTGATGAAAATGATAATCAATGACAATTGATACCAAGTGCTTGCAAACTTTGGTATCAATTGCTTACAAATTTCATCACATTAAAAAAAAAAAGATGTTGGGAATAGGCGCTTAACATAGGTCATTAACACTTACAGACTTTTATTATAAATTACCAAAAAATAATAATATAAAGGTTCTTATTTACCTACATTCATTAGTAACTTTAAACCCATTTCCGCCTTCTCCCTTTTTCTTGTATACAGTGAATTGCTTGCCAACATTAACTTCACACCAACAAAGGTGTACCCTTTTGACAATCGCTCACATTGACAGTTGTAATTCAGTCAACTTTACAAGAACATTCAGGAAGAACAGTTACATGTACGTACAGTGGTATGAGCATGTGCAACGTGGTATATGCTTTGTGTTGAGAAGTCTTGAGTGCAACTTAGTTTGCCAATTGATAGCGATCGATGAACAGCTCTTGACAGATACCAATTGGTACCAACTAACTAATTACATTGATTGATATGGACCGATTGATTGCTTTTACAATCATCAATTTCCACTGCACACCCCAGGCTTAGCCTCAACACCACACAATAGTTTCTTAGAAACTAGAACTTGTCTCACGACATTGAAATATTACCGTGTGGTTATCAACATTTAACTAGAATTGGTCAGGGGAGGTTAAGGAGACTACTATTGTCCATGCAGTGCATGTCAATATGTATGATGCTAGTCTTACAGTTTATGTTACACGCTCTTCTGACAGAGGAGGCAAAAAGAGTTCATATTTGGTTCTGTTCTGTTGCTTCCTTATCATGAGGACTCAAAAATGTGACCAGTTTAGACAGTCCCTGCTGTGCACTCTCTATGTCGTTTTGGGAGCAGGGTTGTATATGCCACTCTCTTTTGTGTGCAATTACATCCAAGCCCATCATTCTTGACAGCTGGGGATAAAAATTACACAGTGCAAAGAAATGCATTTGAATAATACAAGTTAAGTCAAGTACTTCAACTCATGGTAAGAGTAGAAATGTCTTTGACTAATAAAAATAGATGGGAGGGCCAAATATACTGAAATCAGCTAATCGCAATTTTAAGTATTGGACAAGGTAATATTACTGCTTGACAGATCTTTCTCACTCTCAAGTCATGACACTAATTTCTGACTTGTAAACCAAGCTTGCTTACGGCTGTTCCGGAGGAATATATATTTACTCTCTGGCTTTTCTCTTTAGACCTACAGCTGTAACTGCAATCAACCCAAACTGTCAAGAGACAAAGGGTTGATATCCTCCCAGTATTGTCCTTATGCTTGATTAATATACAGGTTTGCAGCCATGATTCGAAAAGTGGCCATCAAAAGAAAGGGTCTAAAAGGGTCTCCTTGTGGGAAAAATAAAACAGTTTTCTTTCAAAAGTGTGCATCCACAGGACACTTGGACACCCATTCTGGCTAAGACCCTGCAAAGTAATCATAATCCAGATCTGACCTCATCTGCATTCCATGCTCCATTCACATCCTGTTTGCTTGCAAACACCAAAAGAGGAACAGATTCCAGGGAGGGGTGGGAGAGAGCCTCTTGAAGTTCAGCTGCTGCTAAGTCCACATCATCATCATTACTACTACTGTCCACCACAAACACCTGTAAAATAAAAGAAATTAAGTTTGAGCTGATTAAATGATTAACTGATCTAAATGTTGCATAAGCCTTTATAGCATATCAAGTCACTCTTGAAAAGAATTTGGGAATGTAATCACAGGAACCCATTGCATTGTTGTGGAACAGACAATGATAGATCTCTGGTGAGATTACTGCCAGTACTCGAAAAGTAGCGTCTCAGTAAACTTAGTGACTTGTAATAAAGAAACATTGACAGGTGACATGTGCAGTACAATAGCTGTTACACTAGATAATTCAAGGTAAGCTAAAAAAGGTAAAGTCTGTATACAAGCCAAATGGCCCAACTTGCCAGCACTTATCTCCGGTTTTCTGTAGAATGAAACAACTAGAAGTATTTCAACTGAAGATTTGTTAGTTTGAACCTTTTACTTGATAAACTCTTGATTATGCATTTTAACAAGCAAAGATACATGAAAAAAGTGTTCCTTACTATTCCCTGAGCTCCAGCAAAATAATGAGGCCAGTACTTCCTTACATTGTCTCCACCTACAATCCCAATCATTACAATATTATAACAGTTCTAGTATAATTAAAGGAAACTGTATTCATTTGTCTCAGTATGTCAGGCTATAATAATTATTGTTAGCAGGATTCCTGGCCTGCAAATTAAATTTCATTTTAAAAAAACTTAGAGGCTCTGCTTAAGTAAATATACTATTTTTAGTTCTATTAATCAGTATTAATCTTTGAGGTCCTTTTTGAAAACCACATGTATGTGAAAAAGTTTCCTCAGTAAAGATTATTATTATTATTACTATAATCTTTTTTCCCCTCCAGGTTTTACCAAATAATAAGATAACAAAAAAGTAGGTGGCGCCAATATACTACTTGCTCCCACAAATGTAATTAAAATTGAGATATACATGTAAATTTAGAAGCATTGGGAAGAGAGAACAGGGAGGTAGTTTCAGACCACAATCATTCTTATATTGTTGAAACCAACAGTAGTCTGGCTTTAGACTCTCTGTCTTTTGTATTGAGTTTGATTGTTGAGACTACAAGCAAAATATTAACCAAAGGGGACATGAACAAGCCAAATGCATGCTCAAAGCATAATAACTTGCAGAAAAAAAAGCACTGTACGGACTAAAACAAATATATTTACAACTAACCTCCAAGTTCCTTGATATTAAGAATGGCAGTTGGTAACTGGATAGCTTTCACAGAGAAACCTGCAACCACATTACACAGGGTTCAAACTTGAAATGAGGCAGCTAGCTACACTGTAACATATGAAATTATAGTAGACTATCTGATATTGTACTTGGGAAATATTTGGTAGACAAAATAAGAATACTACATACAAAGGTGCAAATATTAAGGGCAATTGAAAAGGTTCATCATTGCATGCTTTGTTTTGACATCCTCCAACAAATTTTTGAATAAGCCCCCTAGCACAAATAAGCCCCACCTCCACTTGACTTTTTTTCATGAATAGCTCTGTCGGGCACGATAGAAAATATGCTATAGACAATGTTGTACTATTTTAACATTATAATAAAAAATGTGTCAATGTTATCTAGTACAACTTAGTTGATTGCTTCATCTTATTTTTCCACATCTCTAACCCTAAACTTCATTTAAGACAATTTTGACACTTTCATGTCTTAACTGGGAGTTTCAGTAAGGGCCAGACACCAGGCAAATTGACCAGCCAGCCGTGAAGACAATTTTGCCCACCTGGTTTGAACATCTAGAGGAAAGTTTTCTGGATCATGTGTACTTATGGCATCCACAGTCGAGTGTCGATCGATACCCTCAATCAATACCCTTGATCTATACTTGATTGATACTCGATCGATACTCGATCAACACTTCATCGACACCTTGGTTGACACTTGACACTCCATTGACACTCCATCGACATCTCAGTCAACAGTCGGTCAACAGTCAACTAATTTTTGATTAATTCATACGAGTTGGTGGCCACTCGGCCGACTATCAACTGACTGTTGATCAAGTGTCGATAGAGTTTTGACATGGATTGATCAGGAAGTTGATCAAATATTGATCAAGATGTCGATCGAGGATATCGATCGAGAGTATTGACGACCGCAGATGTCTTTAGTACACATGACCCAGTTTCTTATAAGGAAGTTCAGTTCAAAAAGTTTTGCCCACCTGTGAAAACCAGATGCCCTCTTGCTGAAAACGTTACTGAAACCCCTGCATAACTCTGCTTTAATTTTATAGTCTTACTACAAATAAAAAATATAGTATCTGCANCGACTGACTGTTGATCAAGTGTCGATAGAGTTTTGACATGGATTGATCAGGAAGTTGATCAAATATTGATCAAGATGTTGATCGAGGGTATCGATCGAGAGTATTGACGACCGTGGATGTCTTTAGTACACATGACCCAGTTTCTTATAAAGAAATTCAGTTCAAAAAGTTTTGCCCGCCTGTGAAAACCAGATGCCTTCTTGCTGAAAACGTTAATGAAACCCCTGCATAATTCTGCTTTAATTTTATAGTCTCACTACAAATAAAAAATATAGTATCTGCATTATTCCATTTTGTTCCCACTTTGGATTTATCTCTCCTGCTCAAATAACCCACACCTAGACCCTGTCTATGATGTAAAGTTTGGAAAAACTAAAAGTCCTCTCTAATTTACAGTACTCTTCTATATATTTTTAACAGCCTTCAAAAAAACATCTGAGCACAACTAGCTAACAACTCACCAACTGTGGGCTTAAGGTCTTCCACAGTGTCACCACTCAACTTAGCAAACAGCAAAGACTTTCCAGCCTGACCCAACCCAATTGCGATCACAGAGTATGTAGGCCTTGGTGCTGCTGGCTCCTTACAACAAAGCTTCTGACCACACTAAACATAAAGAACTTGAAGCATTAAAGAGTTTATAATTTCAGTATGGTCATTAGATTACTACATGTGGCCAGTTAGAGGTCTATTTATTAAACAAAACTGACGCCCAAGGGGTAATGGGACTGACAGGGATGACCTTCAGTTGGAAGGCTGTATGTTTAGTATTGCTATGAACCAAGATCCCCCTGTTCGCCCTAGTGGGGCATTCTTTGGCATTTTTACCTTCTTTTTGGCAGAAAGCATGCTTGGCTGCCATTTCAAGACTAAATTCTTCTTCAGATGAGAGGCTGCAGTGCAAGGGACCAACCTATTAGATTTCAAGATTAAGCCACACAGATTTCTGGGAAGTTTGTCCTTCTTGAATTGTAGTGATGTTTGAAAGCACTGGTTGAGAAATTTTGCTTCTTGCAAGGAGTTTTTTAACTGGTGGTCAGTTAATAGTTGGTCAAAATTTTTCTTTATTTAAGAATGCTAGAGTAGTGATTTTGATTGCTGAGGGGCAACTTGCTTCATTTAACCCTTTACTCATTTAGAGTGCCATTTGTCACACATTGTCATAACTTTGTAAATATTGGAGAGATTTCTATGAATTTTTGCCATGAAAATTGTCTTGTAAAGATCTGCTCACTGAAGGCATAAACTTTTGACCCCCTCCTAATTAAGACATGGTTGACCACTCCCACATGGAAAGCAGGACTTGATTCACATCAGGCTATGTACATGTACTAAGACCTGCTAAATAAGCTAAAGTTCAGGGGTGTACATGTAACAATGATATTTGAGAGTTGACATGTATTGGGAGTTTTTCGGTTTCACAGTTTAAAGCAATTTCACTCAAAGAGACTACATCCTTCATAGCTGCTGATCAATGTCAGTTCTTGAATAAGCTGTTCAGTGGCTTTCAATTGGTATATTGTACACAGCCAGAGAGTCTTAATTTGCTGATTTATTATCTGCGTGATTCAAGCTAGGCCCTGCATTCACTGATTTTCCTCACAGAAATACACTGAAAATACCATTTTTGAAAATACCACTAATATGTAGATTTAGCCAAACCTAGAAGTGGAGCTCCTGGGCCAGGTTGTTTAAAGCCTGATTAAGCTAACACAAGATAAGCAAGGATTTTGATTTGAGTTTTGTAAGGCTGTTGAGTTTTTGTGAGACTTTCTGTTTATGTTGTTTGGCCTCCTGTTTTGAGTTTGAATAATCTCAAACTACACCCACAGCCCATGACCCAAAAGCAGTGAAAAACATTTGTATGCAAGAAACATTTATATCTCAGTTAACTTTTATATCGGGGTAGCATTAACCCGCTTCTGAACAACCTGGAACTGATCAAATTCACCTGACATGAACCCAGGATCCTATCGAAACAACATGAACTCGATGAGCTCTAAATCTGAGCCCATGATATGGTCATGTGATACTGGTCAGCGGATACCTTGTTTTGACAAGTGTCAATTGACCATAACATGGATGTCCAAACTAGTCACGCTTTGTAGTATTCCAATTTCATCTAATTACGCAAATTTTTCATTCAGTTTACCCCAAAAATGGCTTTCACGAAAAGTTGAAGAATTCATTTAAGCCAATTTTCAAGTGTCTGAATGTTAATGTGGGATTTTATATTGACAAGCTGTCCACGTGGGAGATCATTTCATCGCTTTTCCAGTGGTTTTCCTTGCACGTCATGGGAAACTTGATATGCGGGAAAATACAGAATACATGTGTGATCAAATACTTGTGTTTAAATCCACGAAAAAAAAATTGGTGAAGGGTCTACACTGAAATACCACAATGTCTCAAATGTCTCTCATTTTTTAATTTGTAATGACAAAAAAAATTTTCCAACTAGACTGGATTTTAGTCAGGTCAAAACTTGGCCTTACAAATGACCTGCTTATAGACAAAAATTATTTGCAGGCTTGTTATGGTGCTCTGTTTGGTGGCCCTTTGGGCCGCTGGAGCTTCACTATCACAGTAATAGAGATTTCCAGGGGCCCTCATCCCAGAGAAAAAGGTTTCTAGCACAATCCATCACTTTTTTACAACTTATAAGGGAAAACCAATATTTCTTCACATATGTTCAGATCCATACAAACTCTACTTAATATACGCTTTGGACTCTCCTTTTCAAAGTTGTTGATTTTCTAAAACAACACCGATAAGGGGAGGGGAGATAATAAATTATTGTTACTTCACCCCCCTGATCTGCAAGGTTTTCCTGACCAACCTTGCTTTAAAAGACAGGGAGTTACGGACTTCTCAAAAAAATATTCACATATATTCATAAAAAAAAAAAAATTAAGAAGCAAAGGACTAACTTTTAGCAGGGAATTAAGCTTAAATCACAAGCTGTTCGGCACGATCGTCTGGACCGAAAGGTTAAAAAGTTGTCTTTGACCAAAAAATGGCGCTGATCGCACATATTTTGTTTAATATCTATTGGTTAATATTCAGTTTACTTTCCATCGATTTAAACAATAAGATTAATGTTTTTACCTGAAAATAAGCTCAATTCAAGTCGTCAATTCAATAAGCTTGAGCTTACTTCTATGATCTACTTACCCGAAAACAACCGATGCGGCAAAGAGCACACAGCAATGAACACCACTGACATTTCTCCCCCATGGCATCACCTTTGAGCCGCGATTAGTTACGTTACCAGCAGAAATTTCGCCATCGAAATGAGGAGAATCAGAAATTACACCTAACCAGGAACAAAAATCTTCGTTACTATTGTTTGCGCGGGCTTTCGAATTTATTTTCCTATCGTCCGCCATTTTGAGTCACGTGACTAGAGCCCAGTGCTTGAGACGAAGGAAGTGAGAGCAGACGTGACCTCACAACTGCCTGATTGAAGGTTTATTTCGGTCAATTTACGTGTGTTTTTCCCGTTTGAATAACGTTGTGTGTCTACGATCAAGAAGTAGAAAGATCACAAGAAAGCCATCATGTCTTTGGCGGGATTTAAGAAGCAAATAAACAAGGCGAATCAGGTAGGGTTTTCGCAAGCAGGATCTCACTTTGACAGCATGGAGAAGACACGTTCTTATTCTCGACTGGGCTTGTAACTTTGATTTCCGTTTTGTGTCAAACAGTTTATGAGTGAGAAGATCGGCGGTGCCAAAGGATCGAGACTAGACGAAGACTTTATGGAATTAGAGCGAGTAAGTTCTTAGTTTAATGTAACTCCACAAAAGGCTGGCTTGGTGTTTTGATACCGCCATTTCATTGACTGCTCAACAAATGTAAACCTTAATGACTAAGCTTTTACTAACAGTTGATGATTCTGAATGATTAAAAGCTTACCTTGATACTGTTAGCCACCCTTACCTAGTGTGATAAATCATAATGGAAAGCACTTTCTTAGTTTCTCCCAGGATATAGATATTTTGTTTTGTCCTTCTCCGTTGTCCAAACTATACGAACATAAAAATGTCAAGCACCGCCTGATACCTTACACCGCTAACGCCATTGTGCCGATTATTTGCCATGTGCAGCATTATATTTGGGAAAATTTTCCCTTTGCACGAGATTCCCAACATCGTTAAATAATTTACGAATGTTTTGCCCAGCAAGAGTCAAACTTCGGTTTCCTTGTGTTTTATGTATAATGACTTCGAAAAATATTCATTGTTTTGATGCACCGCACTGTGTCGAATTCACGTAATAGTGTCATAATAGTAATCCCTGCTTGGCTTATTGTTCTTGACAATGTTCGCCAAAGAATTAATTTTCATTTGCGCAGGTCTTCTGTTTCTTGGTGTTGAAACATACATCGTATGTTTAACGCCTGCGGCAAAGTTCTAGTCGCTACATCAGAAGGGTTTTTCGCTTTCTTGATCGATGGCTAATATTGGAAACGCGGATTTCCTGATCAACTTTGTCTTTAGTCTTAAATTGATCTTTGATAAGCTTCTAATGTTGAGGAATAATATCGAACTGGAATTTGGGTCATTATTTTGATACCATTGTATTTGATCCATACTGCAAGTATTTTACATACTTGTTTATTTTGAAAAAAATTACGTGACCGAGCAGCTGAACATAGGCCAGTGCCGGGGGTGGAAGGGGGAAGGAAGAGCAGGAGTTTGAAATAATTATAATAGTTTACCTCCATAATTTTCTTGTAATACATTATTATGCATTTAAGGTGATGCTAATGTTCTCACAAAGACTTTGTACGTCTGACCCCAGTCATTTGAAGGCTGGATAACGTTATCCACCGGATAAATCACTATCCAGTGGATAAGTCTTAACAAAGCAACCCAAGCTACATGTATCTGCTGGATTGTGATTTACCTGGTGGATAACATTGTCTGCCTTTCAAACAACCTGGGCTGGACTAGTCTTGCTCTCACAAAATATGCCTGCATTCTAGGTGTATTTTGAATAAACCTATAAAAGCTTTAAAAAGCTAAACGGTTTAACAGTTTTTTTTGGCAAGTTGTTTGTCAAAGCCTGTGTAATTAGGCAATAAGAGGAAATTAAGGTTACTGTAGACCTTCAAGGGTCTATTTTGTCCAAAATTATTTTTTACACCAAATTAAAGACTTCTACCTTATCTGAATTTTCCAAAAAAAAAAATTACTTTAAAAAAATTATTTAAAATTATTTTCCCATATTCTAGTAAAACAAACAGGCCGATGAATTACACGTTTAGTTTTTTTAAAAAATGTGTAAATATCCACACGTGACTCGGCTTGCCAAGTAGGCCTGTCTAAGGCTATCCTGCTATCATTCCTCCTTTTTTTCCCGTTTCCTTCTTTACCATTTATCTGCTGATTCAGTTTATAAACTGCTGAATGTTTCACCGCAGACTTCGCTACCTCTAATATAAGATATAAAGGTATAAAGATATACTGTAAATGTAAACATTGCACATTCATTCCCAGGAAGCATTACTGTAGCCCGCTGGGGAGTTTAAAGCTGCATTTCATTTGGTTGGTGGCATGGCCACGTTGACAACCACTTCAGTGAGGTGCGAAAACTGTGAATTTCTTCGAGGCCGAAAACTCAAGGTTTATTTTTGCATGAATTACCTCTACTCAAATGAATTAATAGGGTATTTAGATTCATTGGATTTTAACAAAACTTGGTCAAAATCTCAGCGCACCAAAGTTTGTGAGGCTTTTGCGAAAATCGAAATATTTTTCCTGATGTCCCACTGAGTAACAGCAGTCAGAAAATTTTCTATTGTGCAACTTTAAAAGGATTTTCTAAGCAACTCCTGATTGATAATGTCCAGTCATTTTGGATGTCCGCAGTAACGCAAAGGCTGGTAATTCAGTTGAGCAAGTACGGTCATTTTTACGTTTAAAGGCTTGCGTGTGCCTATCAAAACAAAAATAGCAAAATATATTCTTATTTTGGATTCTACAGTTTATTAGCTTTACAATGATATATAGTTTACCGTGGTTTTCTTTAAATCAGCATGTAAAGAAAGCATTTTCCAGAAGGCACCCCTGAAGGTCTACAGTAACCTTAGACACATGGGAGGCCAAATATTTGTACATGTAGTACACAATACCATGTTGGAGTTAAGTATGCTGGTACATATTAATTCTATATTACATATTACATTCTTAAAAGAAAACTGATGTTACTGCAAATCTTGTGGAACATGTTAGTGGCAAAACAAAGGAATACCTTCAGCCTAACCCAGGTAGAGTATTTACTGATGATACATTTTTTGTAACTTGTTATTTTATTGTTACTAACAATTTATGTATCAATAGCATCAAGAGTAACTGCTTCTGGCTGGGTCTAGTTTTTCCCACGCATGGAGGGTAAAATTGTAAAAAGCACTCTCTGGTAAAATATGATTTCAGGGATTTCAACAACCCTACTGCTGTCATCAATGGATAAGGATGTGCGAAAAAGTGAAAAATTTAGAAATTGTATTATAATTACACTGTATTATATAGATAAAGCTTGAAATCAGAAACCTCACGATTTGTTTGAAATTCATATTGAATTAAACAAAACATGTTTCGGATGAGACTTCATCTATTGTCAGTTTACAATAATACCTTACAAAATGAGCGATGTTAATAGTGTGTGGTAATTATCATAGAGTCAGAAAAATTTGTATAAATTTGAAAAATTTAAAATGCATAATAATTATTGTAAAACAATGACATTGTAAAAAAAGAACTGGAGAAAATTGTGTCAGAAAAGTTAACGTTCGTTAGAAGAATGCCATTTAATATTGTTCCCTAAGCTGGCACAAATTGTTGTTAGTAGCTTTGATCATTTTTGCTGTGTTCCTTACCTCAAACTTGTGTTTTCTAGTGCACAAAGAGTACCGGTACTTATTTTCTAGGTGCCAATTGAAAGGATCAAGACATGTCTACTGGACAAAGGAATATCTTGAGTAATATTATTTCATAATGTAAAATATATATAATAAGTAAAAAGTAGTATCCAGAGAAGTGCGTATGAAATAGTATCACAATACTTAATGATGTTATTGTTTTTGGATTAAAGCTGCCAGGGCCAAGCTAACAATGCAGTCCACTGTCCACAAAGTACGTGGTGAGGCTAAAGTGTCAAGGTACCCTCAACCAGAAGGACAGCTAGGAGAGACTATGCAGAAAGGAGGCCATGATCTTGGAGATGAGTCACTTTTTGGTAAGTTCACAAGAACAAAACAATTTTCAAGTTTTTAGAGCACAGATCTATAGTGTGTGCTGCATGACAGCCACCATAAGACTTAATACAGCTGTAATATTATTTTTTGGATTACATCAGGGTGTAATTAAGGAAAACAAATTTTTGGGTTTGCCCTTCAGGCAAGCTCTTACTATATGTACAGGATGTACATAAATTATGTACTAGCTCAAAAATCATTCTTACTGGCCCCAAAAAGTTTGCCTCTTGCAGTAATTAAATCTCAAAAACTTTTTTCAAAACATTTCGCACACCCATCGGGCAAGCGACAGACAGATCAAAATCCTCTAGGCCAAGCTATTGGATAGAACTTTCATTGCACACTGTACATGCATAATGTGCATAAATTTTGTAACATGAAGCTTACAGCCTCTTTCCCATTTGTACACCATAAAGACAATGCAGAACTTTTGCTTACTACATGTACAACTATGTGTATTGATTTCATAATCCTTCAGGCCAAGCACTCAAGGACACTGGTGAGGCATTTTCAAATCTTGCTGAAATTAAAGAAGCACTTGACAGCAATGTCAAACAGAATTTCCTGGACCCTCTTGATCAGCTCAGGAACAGGGATATCAAAGAAATCATGGTACAATAACATTTAAATATCTGAAGTCATGTTTCATTCACCAGTCAATGGATTACATGATTGTGGAATTGATTTTGTTCCTTGTTCTTTGTCGTACATGTACAGTGTACTAAGAACAAAATGTATTTTGTTTTATGAATGAACAGTCATGTCGCTACATGTACATTGAGCATTCACATTGTTGTATTTTATAGTGCAGATGTATGGGAAAGAAAACTGACCTTTTACTATTAATAATTTTTGTAGCTGGGTGCTTTAAACAAATCATTCAGATCAGATTCAATATTGAAATAATGGTAACTCAAGTTTTTTTAATTTATTTTTACTTTTATTTCTTGTTAGCATCACAGAAAAAAACTGCAGGGAAGACGGCTTGACTTTGACTGCAAGAAGAGAAAGGGACACAAAGGTACAGTGAAGATTTACTTGTCATAAATGTTTATACAGTGTATCATACTGACTGTGCACATGTAAAACATGAAAAAGACAGCTCTAATGATTGATGTTTTACTAATACTGAAATAAAAACTGACTTAAAACAACTGGACTTGGTAATTGCATGGCATGTGTCTAACATTCTTATTGTATTGTCATTTTTTAAGTGTAATATCCACTGTATTCAGTAGAAAGTTTGCACCTTGTTTCGCATGGCATTAGTGTGACAGTTGAATCAACTGTCAAGCTACAGTTGTGCTGCAGTCAAACATAATACAATTGATAAAGCAATGTTTCAGGAACCACATCTTGCCAGTTCATTTTAATTTTTAGTCCCAGAAGAGGAAATCAGAGCTGCAGAGGAGAAATTTGAAGAATCCAAAGAGATCTGTTACAATAGCATGTTAAACCTTATTGAGACTGCAGATGTAAGCTTACAGCTTTTTCCATTAAAATACATAATAATTATGATTAGTGTATTATAATTTTGATCACCTGGCAAATTGTCCTAACCTGGAATGTATCTGTGTCTGATGCATGAATGTACTTTTAGTGATGTACATTGTACATTGTATGCATCTGTATCTCTTGTTATTACTGTCTTATTGTTCTCTTTGGAATATCTCATATACATGTATACCTGTATGTGTACATTGTTCAGTTTGCATATGCTGGTCATTTCCTCGCATTTGCATTCTCAATCTGTTCTTAGTCTCCACTTTAAACTTAGAAATTCTAAGCTTAGTTACTAACAGTATTACATCAATAATTATTATTGTATAGTGTATTATGCTTCATTACGCTTTAATTATTCCTTTTTTTACTTCATGTACTGTACATTCATGATACTCAAATCAATGAATTATTTGAAAAATTGGACGGTGTTAAACTCTATAAAATGTGGAATGCACTGTTTGGTCAACAGGTGGAACAAGTTAGCCAGCTTGCAGCTCTTGCAGAAGCAATTTTTGACTACCACAAACACTGCTGTGATGTCATGGAGAGTCTTGTTTCCACTTTAAATGACAAGTAAGTGAACTTCTAGGGCAATTACACAAGACTTAGTTGGTGCAAATATTTGGCTTGTTCTAATATAAGCCAGTTTTCAAACTATGATTAGTCAGCACAAGAGTTGTTTATCTGAATCCCATGCAAAAAATTGACTCGATTTGTGAAATCTAAGGGTGCGTTCCTTTGGGGGTGATCTGGATCAGGATCAGTGATCCATGATCACTCAGATCATAGTTCATCAAAGGAACTGATGAATCCATGACCAGAGTGGATTCATTGGTTTCTTTGATGCACCATGATCCGAGTAATCTTGGATCACTGATCCTGATCCAAATCACCTGAAAGGAACATGCCCTAAAATTAATGTCTTCAACTTCAACAGATTGTCAAATTGGACAGCAAAGTGTAGCATGTAAACTAGCCTTTGCAAATTTTGTAATGCACAACTTGGCTTGAAGAGAAACAAGCAAAAACAAAAGCCATTGCTTGAAATAAAAGAGGTCTTAAACAATGGACCTGTGTCATGTAACTAATAAAATGGAAGTGACATCAGTAGCATGCTAGTATTAAACTACTATACATATTTTGACAGTTTCTAAATTAATTTAGAAAACAGTACTAAGAAAATACTTGCGCTGATTGGTTAAAAATCATGTTTCTATAACTCGATGGAAACACAGAACTAACACGAGCTGTCGACGTAATGATGGCACAAGTAAAGAGAATTTACATTTTGATAATCAAAGTTAAAAAGTTGTTTTCCTCTTTTTTTTGCCGTGGTGTTTTCTAAAAGAAAAAGAAAACATGTTCTTTTTGTTTCTACCAAGTTACATGTATAGAAAAACTCACGAAAGTTTGGGAGAACTCGAAAAAGCTGT